TAAAGGTCCCCACACACCTTGCGATAATCGTGGGAAATCCCGCGATCGTACGATTATCGTAAGGTGTGTGGAAGCCGTGCGACCTCTACTACTGTAAGGTCGCACGACTTTAAATGTGCCGCCCCAATGGGGCATAAAAGTTTTATATAGATGAGAATTTATATAGATTGTTTTGTCCATATCATTTTCCTATGGACGTTTGTATAGTTAGTTATATGCTGCCATCTAGAGGCCTTTTGTTGTAATGTACATGTTTTTCTGTAATTATTCCTCATGTGACAATGTATTTCCCCCTAGTGTACTCCCCTTCCTTCTTCCTGTGTGCAGTACTTCCTGTGTCATGGCCACAGTTAAAAGCCACATGTAACAAGGACACACATGTGATCTGCACAGTACGTAGGAAAGGCATCATTTTCTGACCGCACAATACTATAACCGTTCAACTGCTGTTCCTATCATCTGCTGTAACCCTGATGTTAAAGAATAAACACCTCTTTTGAATGAATCGGTATTGACGAGTTCAGCTATCTGACGAGGATTGTCCGCAGTGAGTATATCTGCTTATACAGGCCAGGCATAAAGGTCTCAGCAAGGGATATATTTCACTATCACAACGATCAGAATATTAAACTTACGAACATGTTCGAAAACCCGCCGAGCATCGTACGATGTTCGGCGGGTTTGTGGCATGTTCGTAAGATAAAAGCCGGACGGGCCGGTGTGCGCAAGCGCACACTGCTCGTTCGGCATTGCGGTCATCGGAAGCCCGCCCCTCAGGGGGCATGGCTTGAGATCATCGCAAGTACGATCTGCCTATGCAATCTAGGCAGATCGTACGTTTTTTTAAGTACCTTACAACCATCGCAAGACAAAAGTCTTGCGATGGTTGTAAGGTGTGTGCCCAGCCTTACACTATTCCTCCATCTTCCACTTTCTCTTGTGCTCGGAGAGAGAAAAAAAGGCTTCCCATAGTGTAGTATGTAAAAATAAATGTATTTAAAACGATTAAAATACACTTACAATTAAAATAAGGCAATTGCACATGGATTGTGTCCACTGGAGCTCCTGTCTCTATGATTGTAATGCTCGCATTGATCTGCCCACCTGATGCATTTCGTCACTATTGACTTCCTCTGAGGCGACGGTCTGCATACCTGTGAACAATCTAGGACAACATAGCGAATTTGGAAAAGTTCTCCAATCCCGCTCACTTTCCAGTTCAGTCATGTTGTCCTATATTGTTCACTTCTCCTGCCTTCTCCGAACTCTTCACCCTTTGATGAATAACCCTGTAAGTCTCTGACCCAGAACAAGCAGGCAGCAAGTGAAGATGTGATCTGAATACTTGTTCTCTCACCTGTAGGGATGTACAGTATATATGGTTTTAGATTATAGTTCAGATATTCTACAGAATGCATTTCAGGTGGCAGTAAATAATTGATATCGCTCCTTGTCACACACAGGCTATAGAAATAGGCAAAGGCGACCCCGTGACACTGAACCGGCTGGCGAAAATATTTCATTTCTTGGGAAAGCAAGAAATGGCTACAGGAATCTGTAACATGGCACTGGATGCACTTCAAGATCCAAAGCTGAACTGGCAGGCGTACCTCACCCGCTCCCAGGTAATATCCGAAGCTTCTAGATCTGTGCAGGACTCTAGTGTGAAACTTTACTTCTGTGTAGGAGCTTCCTGTATTAAAGACTGGTCACTGCTGCTCTCTCTCCTTGTGCAGGTGACTGGTCTTGTATACGCCTCCTCCTGTACTTTTCTGCAGGCAGCCTGAAGTGGGTGTGGCCTGCTAGGTCCCTCCCACAGCTCTGCTCAAGTTATGTGCTGCACATTGATGATGTAATCACTTTTACAAGGTTTTGGTGCTCACAAAATAGATTTATAACCTTTGTGGCTATTGAAGAATATATTTGAATTAAAGTTTTTGTGTACGGAGTACGGATTTAAGCAAAATATTGGTTTTATTCTGTTACAAAGTTTCATGCCTGGGGATCCTGCAAATAACAACACTTCCTGTTGTAGGCTGACAGTGCTAAGCCACTGCCATGCAATTAACAATGGTGTTGTCAGCTGTGCGAGCTCTTTTAAGGTGCCCATACACTGTGCGATTATCGCACGATAATCGCTGAAATCCCGCGATCGTACGATAATCGCAAAGTGTATGGAAGGCGTGCAACCGTTTTTACCCGTACGGTCGCACGTCTTTTGTCTAAGGAGCATGCTAGAAAACCAGCCGAGAATCGTACGATTTTCGGCTGGTTTTTAGCATGATCGTAAGATCAATGCCGCACGCGCACACTGCCCGTTCAGCATTGCGGTCATCGGAAGCCCGCCCCTCAGGGTACGATCTGCCTGTCCAAGATGGGCAGATAGTACGTTTATTAAATTACTTTACAACCATCGCAAGACCTTAATCTTAGGTTGTAAAGTGTATGGCCACCTTTAGTTGGGCTGCCTATTTGAAAGACCTGATAAGCAGCCTAGGGCTAATTCAAGAAGAGTGCAGGGCAGGGTGACAACGCTACTGCTGAATGTGAGGTGGTAGCATAGCATTGTCAGACTGCAACAGGGAGTGCTGTTACAGGCAGGAACTCCAGGGTAAAAAGAAGATTCCTAAAAATTAGGGATGCACTGATACCAAGTACAGTACACGGTACATGTACAAGTACAGATACTTTTCCAGCTCCAGGACTAGACTAGAGAAAAATTCAAAAGTTAGGAGGCCGCTGTCATTTGTAAGGAGCACACGGAGCTCCCGGGATTTGTACATCTCTGTTTTAATGTATGATTTTGTTTTTATAAACAGATATATTTGGGATGCACCGATACCATTTTTCCAAGTACGAGTACTGGTACATTATTGTTTATTGTCATGTGACAGTTTTTATAAAAAAATACAGACTAATGATTTTAGTACAGTGGTGGAGCACTAGAGCCAGGTCCCAGCTGCAACCGCTGCAACCCTGGTAGTTCTCATGAAAATGCCAAGTATCAGCACTGGTATCTGTACTGGTATCCGTGCATCCCTACAAAAAATCATTTTGCTTAAGAAAACTGTATGCAATGAGACATGATGCCAAACATGTGGCTATACATACACTTTAATGTTGCCTTTTGCCTCCTGTGCACAGAGAGCAAAGTCTACAGAGCAATAAGCCACACCCATGAATCAGTTCTTATTGCTGTAGCCGGCCTGAACTAGTCATTGTTAATGCACATGTTACCATTAAAGCAGAACACTGGGCACACATTTTATTAACCCTGACAGCGCTCCCTCCTAACTATCTCTTCCAATGCTTCTAATTAACAATTATAGACTGAATAAATAAAATGTGTCGTCTTTTCCTGCGCAGATTTACATCAGAATGTATGTGAAAGACCTAGAAAGGGCAAAGATGGGATTATGTGGACTGCCAGACAGAAACCATCTTACCAATGCCAAGTCAGACCTGGACAGCATCATACATGTGTATCCCTGCCTGAAGACATACCTGGAAATGGGACAAGTAAGTGGACCGGTTACATATAGTAAGCCGTGGTACACATACGACCCCAACATTTACTAAAAGGTCAGCCCAAGGCAAAACTATTCTTTCAGATTTGGAAGAAATCAGGACCAAGTAACAAAGTGGAACTGAATCAGAGAAGGGCAAAGTAGTTGCTTTTCTTGCAAATCATACGGTATAAGCTCTTGAAGGCACTTAAATGCCCCATTTACATGGGGACTTCTGGGATTCCTGTGCCAAGAACCTATGGATTCTTGTGGCAGGAATCCCAGGTGTCCACATTCAGATATCCTGCGACAGGAATCCCAGGTGTCCCTGTTAGGATATCATACAGCAGGAATCCCAGGTGTCCCATTCAGATATCCTGCGGCAGGAATCCCAGGTGTCCACATTCAGATATCCTGCGGCAGGAATCCCAGGTGTCCCTGTTAGGATATCATACAGCAGGAATCCCAGGTGTCCCATTCAGATATCCTGCGGCAGGAATCCCAGGTGTCC